AGACATGTTTCTACTCTTTCCTTCTTATTTCTATCCATCTAAACAACACATCTTTTCTACTTTCTTTCCCATATATTTTTTCCTTCTTATTTCTTTTATTTCTGGTCTACTTCTAATTCAAACATAGCATTAAATTTCTAAACCAAACAAAGTATAGAGAAGAAAATTCCTCCCTCCCTGCCACTTCATCAAAACCCTGTTGCTTTCCTTTCTATTATATTTTTAAATTAATTAAAATTGATTTTGATCTTCCATGGGTTTATTAAGGTTACTTTAAACTTTAAATGTGCGATGCTCTGCTTCCTGTGTGCAAACTTTAAAAATTTTAATTAAAACCCTGTTACTTTAATGATTATCTTATCTGAAATGAACAGACATATGTGTGTGATGCTCTGCCTCCTGTGCAATCTGGGCTTCAGTTGTCACCAACCTTGACCAGCATTTTCTGGCAAAAACATAATAGCTTCTGGTGAATCTCTGTTTTTATGTTGCTTTGCTTCCCACACACTGTCCAGCAGGTTGGGAACCCACTTTCTTTTCCCATTCTTTCTCTTTCCATCTCTTTTTTCTGTGTTTTACTGTTTCTAACAATGTTAGTGATTGACTCAATAAGGATACTTGGTCAATGGATCACTAGTTGAACTGATGAATCATACCGATTAAATTGCATGTACCAGCATAAATTATAATGTAAATAGTTAAGCATAGGTATGTATTTTATCTTAGACGCATATATACTACATAGCTGTCCTGGCATAGTGATGCAGCTTCCAATTGCAAGCTACATACTGGGTTTGATTCCTGCGGATGACATTTTGCATTTTTCTCCTAGCACATGGTTGACATTCACAGAAGCCTACAGTGAGTAACGGGCCTATTTAATGACTTGTGCATGATAGTGACAGTAGGGGTGTAATCTGGTCAGGTTGAGTCAGATTTAGGGTGTTCTGAAGTCCAAACCAATCAAACAATCAGGTTGTGCTGGGTCATGTATCCTTATTTTCTGTTAGCCAATCCGATTATTACTGGTTAGAAAAAACTAATATTTTTAAAAAATAAAAAATAGAAAAGTTCAAAAAAAAAAAAAGAGACCAGGCCACCAGTGGTCGTAGCATGTAAAACCTTGAGAGAGAGCATAGCAGCTGCAAGGTTGGCTTCATTTCATCTATACATTGTTCAAGGATTTTGGTGTTTGTTATAGCATATCCAATTTGTTAGGTTTTGGAATGAGAGTTTCTCTTATTCCTTTTTTTCATTTATGAATGTTAATGTGATGCATGGGTTCAACTCCTTGCACAAAAAGCCAATGTGCCAAGTTATATGAAGAAGGCAGCATTCAGGAGAGAAATCCAAAAGCTTCTGAAAAATATAAAACAATCTGAAAGTTCTCCATATGTTCATCTTTCTCTGCAACAACACCTCCCCTATAGCATGGAACTTCAGTAGTTCAGCGAGTGAGTGAAGAAGGGACCTTCCACATGTTGTGGTTGGTTTGGATTGGATTCTTCAAGTTTGTAAACTCATAACCTGAAACCCAAACTGTATAAGATTGGGTTGAGGAAATAAAAACCAAACCATCAAAATTTAATCGGGAAGGGCTGACCAGGTTCATGGGTCAACCCGTATTCGCTTACACCCTTAAGTGACAGGAAGCATGACTGCAGCAGTAGGTCAGCTGGCCTGACTTTCATTGAACCTACCGGAATGATCCTGAGACAGTTTGTACTAGTTGAATACAATTGAAGCCCAGTTTGATGGCATCAAAACCCGATCCTATAATAAAACTGAACCAGCCATGGTTGTCAATCTCTAGTGATAACTCGTAAAGTTTACGAGTTTAGGACAGCTTACCTGTATAACTCGGAAGTAAACTCGTTTTTGAGTAATCTCAGAATAATCTCGGTGATCTCGTGTAATCTCGCGAGATCAATTCCGAGTTTAAGAGATCACTTTTTTTTTCACTTACACAAAACGCGCGTTTTGTGTTTTGTGTTAGGGCACTCATTTAGTCTCTCAAACGTGTCTCCTCTCCTTCGTGTTTCCTCTCCTTCGCGTCTCCTCCGTAGCGCCTCCTCCGCATTTCCTCCTCTGCGGCTCCTCCTCTACGCGCCTCCTCCACGCGCCTCCTCCTTTGCACGCTTCCACTGTTCTTCTCCTTTTGTGCGCCTCCACTGTTCTCCTCCGTGTTTTGTCATTTGTGTGAACTTTTCTTAAGAACTTGTGTTAAGAACATTTATTATTAATGTAATTTGTTATTTTACTCTTTAATATGGAGTTAAAATGTTCAATTATTATGTTATTTTAATTATTTATTTATTAATTTATTATTGAGTAATCTCTTACGAGTTTACGAGATGAGTTTACGATACGAGTTTACAGAACCTCCACGAGATTATGTTCGAGATTGACAACCTTGGAACCAGCCATAGGCCTGGTTCCCAGTCCAACTGGCCAGGGCAAGCCAGTTTTAAAAGTGGTGGTTTCTAAATTCATGTTCAGTTTTTATAATTATGAATTGAGTAATTTTTATAACTTATCAGCATATATCATATGTATACAGTATTAATCATTTAATATGTATAAAAAGTTCATAGAAGTCTTTCTGCTAAGCACTATCCCACTGTAGCTTTTATGTGATAAAGTATAATGTATTAATCTTCTATAATTTAATTTTTATTTAAAAAGTTACCAGAGTTTGTTTATTTTGGTCCCTCCCTCAGATGTTTTCCAGATCCATCCTTGATCTGAGTGCAAACCATATCATAAAATCTGTCTACACATCCTGCTTAGACTAAACAAACTAACCAATGGAAGGAAACTAAGATGACCTGTCAAGTTTCCACAAAGATTCTACGTTGCATGATCCATGAAATATAGACACATAGGAATAACAAGGGATTTGGATTTAACATCCGAAGACATAATTCTATTTTTCTTTATTTTGAAGAAAGCATATGCTGTAACTAAAGGCAAGAAAACTAACAGCAAAGTATAGGCCTGCATCCATATAGACCAAATAAGGAAATCAGATAAAAACAAAAACAAATAACTTTCAAATTAAAAAGATTAAAAGATCATTGAAGATTAAAAAGAGTAGTCAATTAACAAAAACAAATAAAACTAAACAATCAAGGAAACCAGAGGTTCAACAGTATTATTTACAGTTGAATATTCACTTTTACCCTCTTTCTCCAAATCATGATTCATATTTGAAGCATTACAGCAACCATATTACAGAAGCACAATTTTTTTACATAAAAATTATAAATTCAAACATATAACTTTCTATTTTTAAATGAATGCACAAAAATTACAAAATTATCATCATCACAATACTTTCCATGTATCTAATAAAAATCTCAAGCATTAAGAGAAAGCGAGATAATTGTAATTTAACAACCTTACCTTCAAAAAAGTGGTAGTAAGATCATCAATATCAGAAAGAGATCTTACATCCTCAGCCTGCAGAATGAAAGTACAAGTTAGTTGATATGAAATTCTAGCATTGTCTGTAAAGTGCTGCTGGACTAAAAGCATAAGCTCAACATGTTTATACCCAAAAATATTATAGCGACAGAATTTTTTAAGATTTAAAATTAAAAACAAAAATCTTCACAAGAACTGAGAAGACTGAAAATTAAGGATTAACCTCTTCTCTTTCTCTATTGAAAAAGAACTCCTCCTCATTAGACTCAACAGGAGGCACAATGTCATCCTCTTCTAACCCTCCCAACTCAACTTCCTGGACAACATCTTTACCGAAGAACGCATATTGTGATGCATCAAAAACTGCACCCCCTGCAAGGCAAAAAATTCCGGTCAAAAACCTACCAGTATCTTAGAGAACAATTTAACATGCAAAACACAGGTCCCAGTGTAGCACATGGCATAGAACTCTCACTGCAACCCAGCCACAAGCCACAAAAATTTGATAAGCTCACTGCCGATTAGTTAGAGAAAAAAAAATAATGCAATTTGTACAGACAAGGAAAACGGCAAATATCATTGGAAGCAAACAAGTTTTTTCACTCTGAAAATTGAGAAGACATCAATGCAAACAACATTCGAAGACCTTATGGGAAACTAACTGTCAACAATCATCAACAAGCATGTACACAACACACACAGAGATTACACCTAAAGCAACCAACAACAGCATAAACCTAAACATAACAACAAAAATTACCCCCCCCAAAAAAAAAAAGAAACTTGAAAATCCCCATCATTAAGCTTCTGTGAGCTGAAGCTAAAAAACAAACAAACACCTTGAAATGCATCGTAAATCTTCGCATAATTCAAATTAACCCACTAACTAAAACACGCCAGATCTACAAAAACAAGCTGAATCAAACAACACAGAAACAAACACCCATTAAAGAAAAGGGTCAGAAAAAACCGAGATTTGAATCCCAGAGGACGAAGCAAACCTGAGGGAGCATTTCCCAATTCTCTGAGATTCTGTGTGTTGGGAGCTCCATCAACGCCACCCCCAGCTCCAAACCCATCCATATCCACCATAAAAACGAAGGAAGAGGAAACCCCAGAAAGAGAAACCCGCGAAAGATCGGAGATTTAGAGAGAAAAAAGAGAACCCAATGTGAAAAGGGTTCAAACCCAAAACCCCCCCTTTTTATGTTTTGTTTTGTGAGTGTTTCAGCGAGAACGGTAGAACGAAGGAAGAAGATCTGTGCTGAGAATTGAGCACATGGAAAAAGGAAAAGGAAAAAAAGGGGTTGGGATTTGGATCAAAGAGAAAACAGAAGAAAGAGAGACAAAGAGAGGAGAGAGACAAAGACTGAGAGGAACCCTACAAAGGAGATATTATTGATCCAAATTTATTACAGAAATTGTTCTTTGCTTTTGTTTTTTCTATTTTTTATTTATTTTCATTTCACCATAAAACGGAACAAGACATTTCGGCGTCGAAAAATTAAATTAACTTTGGAATACTAAAAATATTTACGGACTAAATTTGAGGAGAGGGATTGTAAGTTATTTCTTGTTTTTTTTTAATTTAATAATCACGTTAATCTTTTATGTTGAGTTTTAATTTAAGGATAATATTAAAATATCTATAGCAATATTATAATATACTTAAATTTTTTTATTTTATATGTAAAAAAGTTATAACAACATATTATACGTAATAACTATTTTGTGTTGGAGGGTTTTTAAAGACTATTTTTTCGATTGAAATCATTTAAGAAATTTTTTTAATTTGATTTTGTTTTCAAACTTATTATTTAATTAATTTTTTTATTTAACATAACTAAAATTAAATTTTAATATTTAAAATAAATTATTAATAATTAAAAATAATTTTATAATAATATAAATTATTTATATTAAATCAAAAATATTATTTAAATATTTTAAATATATCTATTTATATAAATTTAAAATATAATTTATATATTATAATATAATATTTA